GCAGGATGAGGGCTGGGGGGCTGGCGGCAGCGACGCACCTTATCCCGGCCCCTCCTGCTGCCGTCACAATGGCCGGGCTCAGCGGCGTAAAGAACACGCCTGGGTCCTCTCACTCGCTGTGGGCAGAGTCCCAAGTGAGTCCCACGGGACCAGAATCCAGGTGTGGGCGGGGCAGGGTGGGGCTCCGGGCACCGTTTCCCCGCCTTTCCCAGCATCCGAGCATCCCTGGCCCGGGACCCTCCTTCCCCCTTCCTCCCCGTTCCAAGCGCACCCTCTGCCCCTGCCCCGGACTCCCCGCCTCCTCTCGTAAGAACCTCCATGAAGGCGCCGGGCCCCCCCCTGACACCCTCAGCTCATCGCCCATCTCGGGAGCCCTGACCTAGCATGTCCCTCGTGCCACGGCCCCCGTGCTAGTCACAGAGCGGGACGCAGATGCCGGGGGAGCCACAGTTCTGCTGCCACGAGTCCTTTGACAAAGGCACGTCCTGTGAGCCATCTGTGCCGGTCCCTGGTGGCCCCCTGGGCCTCTCAGCAGAAGCCCTGCTTCCCGCTGGGGTGCAGGCCGAGGGGTGCCGCCGTGGGCCTGGGGACGAGACGCACTGAGAGGCTGAGGGGCTCCGGGGGGGCCCCATTCCTGCCAGTGGCTCAGGGCACGCCTCTTGGAGGTCAGAGGTCTTCCTGGCTCATAGCCAAGGGCAGGGGAGGGGGCGGGGGCAGGGGAGCCATCGCACCTCTCACTGTCACAGACCCCCCGTCTCTGCTCCCCCCACTCCTGAGCATTTACCAGCAGCCCCCCAATAACCATGATGAGTCCCTGAAAGACAGCTCCACCGACATAGCGCATCGTTCATACCCTCCCCCCTCCACCAACGTCCTGCTTATTACGGTCAGGCACTATTTTCAGCTCCTTCTCCCACACCCATCATGTGGCCATGCCCCCCTCGAGAAACGCTGCTCCCCATTTCACAGATGAGGAGGCAGGGCACCGGCACTGGGTAGCTGTCCCCTGTGGGGAGCCGATATAGGGTTAAGCCTCGGACTGACCTGCTGGCAAAGTCACAAACAAGTCCCAGCTTAGAGGGCACAGTCCTCTTAGCATAATTAGGCTTGACCTTATAACACTCCCCAGATCTTACGGGGGAAGCTAATGGGCTGAGGGAAGTGCAGGAAGTGTAACTAAGATCAAAACAAGTGAAACCCACAAGAACTGTAACTATGGTAACCACCGCATTGTTTACCTCTGACTATAAAATGGTTGGTGCGGCCTGAGCACCGGTGGAAGTCCTTCCTCCTGAGTTGGACTTACCCGCCTGGCCCCCCAATATTCCCAAATTATCTCGTCTTTTCTCTTTCATTTGTGTGCGGCTCCTCTTCCAGATCCTGAGCCCTGAACCACGCGGGACGTGGAGGGAAACATTTACAACATTCCCCACCACCCACAGTTATGAAACAGCGCAGCTGTCTCCGCTCACTGTGCACGCTTCTGGGTATCGCCAGCCGACCTGGGTCTCCTGAGCACCCGTTTGGCCTAACGTTGGCCACTCCCAGCATGCCTCTGGGGCGTACCTCAGCCCAAGCGGGCTGCCTCTGAACAGGGTTTCCCAAGGCTCCACCCCGGCCCCGGCCCCGAGCAAAGGGTGCTCTGGGTGACCTCTTGCTCCAGCCATCGGAGGAGCCTTGCCCTCTAGGAGCCCTGCCCCCACGCGCTGCCTGGCCCTGAGGCCACTGAAGGGGGAGGCTGATGGCCCGGAGCCCCCAGAACGGGCAGGTAAACTGCAGGTGCTCAATGAGGAGCAATGATGGACGAGCTGCGAGCTGAGTCCTGAGTGAAAGCTCCTTAGCTCAGCTCCGCCTCCCTTGTCTGAAACCTGAAACCTGAAACCTGAAAGGCTCAGAAAGCCAAGAGAGCTCCTTCCTGGGCTCTTCGTGGTCCTGTGGCCCGTTTCACGCAAAGACCCGTGGGGGGTGGGGCGAGCTTAGTATGGGGTGTTTCTATCAGACCCCTCGGGGGTGTTATAAAATACAGGATTCTGGGACTATGCTACTTTCCTTTTGTGTTAATCCTCACCCGAGGGTATTTTTCCATTGGTTTTTAGAGAGCGTGGAAAGGAGGGAGAGAGAGGAACAGCGATGTGAGAGAGAGAGAGACATTGATTGGTTGTCTCCCAGATGGGCCCAGACTAGGGCCAGGGGTGGAGCCTGCAACCGAGGTCTGTGCCCTTGACGGGAAGCAAACCCGGGACCCTTCCGTCGGAGGGCCCGTGCTGAGTCAAACCGGCCAGGCACTTTTTAAAAATAATTTTTAAAAACCTGAATTCCCAACCACCCGGGCATGAGACAGGGGTGGTGGGCCGATGGTCAGTGTGGGTCATGAGGGGGGCGGGGCACTCCAGTTCGAAAGGCCCCATCGACGCCTCATGAGCCCGAAGAGAGACCCCAGGGTGGGCTCGAGACGCCAGCCCAGACGACGG